TCGCTAATGATCTCTTCTGTAATTTGATTCGTTTCGGCAATTCATTATTATTCCTTATTTAGTAAGTATGTAGTTAAGATTAACATTCGTAGTATTATTTCCATAAAAAGAAAATTTGCTGGAATGAGGTAAGCTAACAGTGCTGCCGGCATAATCCATAGCAGAAAAACAATGCGAGAATACATTTTTTTGTTTTGAGTTAACAACCGTTGCTACGAATTACTAAAATGTTGTTACTATAATTCTAAATAAAAAAGAAATGTAGATATTACATTAAACATAAGCATAATAGCCAAAGGGAAGTAATTAGAGTTGCTTACAATGGGAAAGGGAAGACCAAAAGGAAAACTGAATTGTTGAAAATTTGAGCTACATAAAAACAACGCCAGCGGTGGATCCATAAAGGGAAGGCTTTTATCGTTCTGAAGTTTTGCAGGGCACTTTTAAAGCTTCGATGTTAGGCGGTTGAAGTGATACCTATGCACGCACAGGTACAAGTCTGAAAAAATATAAACTTGGCCTATTTTAACCATATTAATGGCTGTGCTTTCAAACTAAATCTCTTTATCTCTATGTAATCAAATAATAACCAGGGCTGCGATTCTATGGTGCTGGGCTATTTAATTTTCTTGACCTTAGATTGAAATATGAATACCAACTAAGACGAAATATATTTTAATTTATATACTTTCTTACTTATTTGGGCTCTTTCTTTCCAGTAACACTTGGGTTACCTGCTTATCTATTTTTTCTTTTATGCATTTCGTATGGACTAAAATTAGTTTGATAAAAAGAATTTGATAAATGAGTATACTCTTTTACAAGATTTATCAAAAATGCATCTCAAAACCAATACTCTGTCGAGACGTTTTAGATCTATCTCCAAGAGCTCCTTCAATTTGATTATTAAGTGCAAGAAAAGGTACTCCACTGTTAGCATATCGGAAGTTGAACAGCCTAGTAGGACTCTTATCATCTCGTTTTTTATGAATTCCTGTCGTAACTCCCACCGAAAGCGAGAGTTCTGTATTCTAATTCACGTTAGACCAAAAGGACCTAGCTATCATATACATATGTACATATGTCTTAGCTACCATCCAGTGTTCGCTGAGTTGAAACGAGGCCCAGTGGGAACAACAGGTGATCACTTGCGTCACATCCGCTCCCTACCCGGTGATATCATATCAATGGTATCCTTTCTTTCCAAATCGACAGTAAGGCAGTCCCCTGCAATGCCACTGAGGCCTGATACCCAACCTACACTTAAATCTAATTAAAAAATACTTCGAAGCATTTGAAAGGGAGTTCGGCGCTCAATTCGACGCGCACCATCTGCCACTAGGCTTTCAGATCAGACGATTACGTCACTCAATGACATTACACAATTGAGCAGCTCTTGCCTGAGAAATGCTGCAGAGGTCTCGAAACCTCAAATTCAGGCTGACAGAGAGCTAAGGGGGGGGCTACTGTGTAATGAATACGAAAGAGAAATGCGATGCGATAGACAAATACATCGTAAGTAATACGCTGTGGCGATTGCCTATCGCATCGCATATCTCTTTCGCATCGCAGTACAGAGTATCCCCCCAGGGCTTAAGTGTAATTCTGGCTTCTTTTAAAAAATATTATAATTTTTTGCGTTCTTTATTGAAAGGTCTTCATTACGTTGACAATCTTTTAAATATTCCGTTCAATCTAAGTAATTTTTTTGCGTACTTTTGAAAATTTTTAGCGCCATAAAATGTGGGTTCTTATAACTACAAATCAAAAATGCGTAGTATAAAGAATTTGTATTTAATAATTCTTACCGTTATTTCACAAGAACCGCTAAATACTCCTTTTCCAACATTTATTGAAATACAGGTTGTTAAATTTTACTTCAATAAGTTTGTACGATATTTTTTCAGCATTTTAGCACAACATAAAGATAATTTTTGAATAACTTTTGCTACAGAATTCTATTTTTAAATCTTTTTCACTTTTTTCTTCGTTTATTAAAATTAAAAATCACCAAATTTTGTCCAATAATTGTGCCGAAAATAATTTTTTTATTATCTCAATATTTGATTTGTAATTAAAATTGCAATAAACTTTCACAGATAACATTTATGGTATACGACATATACTACACATTAAAAAAATTACTTTGATTTTTGATAAAATAAATGAATTTAGCTTGATTTTAGTTTGATTGAATTTGATGCTGGTTTAATTAAAATGAAACAGAATGATCGTCGCATCACACTTCACTTAGTTAGCACAAGGATTTTTTTTGTATTAGATTAGTTTTACACTGACTTACTTTTTTTTATGAAATATGTAATTCGAACTATTTTTTAACATACCTAGTAATTTTTTAATTTATTTTTTGCACTAGCTAATGCTAGACTATTTTCATACACCTTTTGTTTGGTAGTTTTGAAAAACACTCGATTTCGCACTTCTCGCTCATCCGCTATTTGCTGTCATAATTCGCGGCAGTTCGGCAAAGACTAAATTGCGCCATCATTCAAAGCTCCAACTGCAAAAGCAGCGGCCAGCATGCAACGAGTGTCGTCGACTTGTTCGTTAGATGGGTGGTGTTTGGCGTTTGCCGCCTATTTCACTAAAAACCTTTGGCGCACGCATGCAAACCTACGCGCAAACACCCACACAATCGCGCAATATTTTTTTTTTTGCAAATCAGCGAAATTGTTGGGAAGTTGTGTTGCCCACAAAGATAAAGAATAAATTTTATTAAAAAAAGTTCAAAATTTACAAGCACTTACTTTTAATATATAAGTATGTACTATATGTTTGTATGTCTTTCACAACACAGAGTTGCTATAAATTGTATGATATTTTATGACATGACTTTAGCAAGATTTTTACAGATAATTAATTAATGTATTAAATTTTGCTTGTATTCCGAAACATCTTTTTCATTTATGCAAACATTTTTATTGCTTATTCTGCTCTTACTTAAAATTTCATCTTTAGCAACATGTTGCGCAACCTTTCCATAACATTTCCATTTGGGTTGATTTTGTTGCGCGCGTATTGTTTGGTGGCCGCTTTATCGAACCAGCCTGACGCCTGACCAATAACAAGTTTCACATGTTGAGTGATAAGCGGCAATCTCAGCGTGAGTTGTTACACGCCACCTCTGCTTTCAAATGCCGGCAAATTCGTAGGCGGCCGGCGCTTTGGTTGTGTTTTGTTCGTTCATATTACCGGCTATGTTGGGGCATTGGATCACACGCAACATGCTCGGTGGGTGATGTGTTCGATGGAGCAGGTACAGTGTTGTCATGTAAGTGTAAGAGAAATAGGGAACAATTTGGGCCCCTTGAGTTGTAATAGATGATTTACTTGAATAGATGGTGTGAAGGATAAATGCTTATGAACTGATTAAAAAATAGTTTTGTAGTCGTCGGCAAATCCAGATTTTTTTTTATGCTGGGTTATTATTGTTGTTGTTACAGCTAAATATTAGACATATGTACACAGGTGAGGCATGTCAGTTGTGATTAACTTGGGGTTAGTGTGACCAGCTGAGTTGAAGGGAAAATCAGGACAGTCGCAAGTAACATCTATGTATATATGACTATGTTTTTATGTGAACCATGATGAAAATAAAGCGTAGTTTCACTCAATGATTTTGGTCGCCGTTATAGCCATTTGACTTTTGCTGGCATTATGGCATTTTCAACCAGCTATAACAAATAAATTATTTTTCAACTGCCGTTTATTATAATGAACCAACCGAATTATTACTTAAAAAAAATTTAAGACACAAAAAATGCCAGTAGATATTCGTAAAAATTATGAAGTGGATCTAACTCTTTATAAGTATGCATTCAGGTACTAGGATCGTCTTAAAACACTAAGACACATTAAACTTCATAGAAACTCCCATCCCGAGATACCACCATTTATATTTAAATATAACCAGCATGGCAAAGCCGCTTGCGAAATTTACAATTTATAAAATTTAAAAGATGACTGTGTCGGTAAAAAAAAATTAAGTGAAACTACCTTCTACCTTCTACCTATAATATTTTTATCATGGTGTGAACACGGTAAAAGGTTTATAAAAGGTCAGCTTTGTAAAAATCAGCGCATTAGGTGGAAAAAGAAAAATCTGTCAGGACACTTCAATTCGACCCTGAAATCAGGACATGTCCTGATAAATCAGTACGCCTGATCACCCTACTTGAGGTCAATGCCATTTGAGGTTTGTCTATAGTGAGCCTGGGCTATGTACATAATACATAAATGATATCAGAAGCGTTCCTATAATATTTTTAGGTTTTCCACAGTCGGAATTACGCTGTCCTGAAACCGTATGCCTTAGTTAAGTTTGAACTCCCGCATAGGGAAAAGTGTTAGGTTTCTTGCAGCTGCAAGTTACTGAGAGGAAATAAATGAAACGCTTAAGGGCGAGGGGAAACTTCAATATGGTATAATATAATTTAACACTACCCACTACCTCCTGGTCTAAGGTTGTAATGCGAGTGTTTGTTCGGTAAAATATGACTTGGTTTTACCCTTTTAGGGTTTGTGACACTCTGGAATCTGTTCTTTACTACGAGTTCAAATACTCACCCAGTTCCCAGTTAAAACTAACGTTACACCATATTTGTTACCCATTTTTGAAGGTTTACTTCTGCAGCACAGCAATTTTAGGGCATCACGAAAACTATTATTACCAACCGTTAGTATTCGCATGTGCTACTAAAAAATCAAAAAATTTCGTATTAAAATATCCCCCAAAAAGCAAATTGCAGATATAATAAATTTCTATATTTTATATATCCTGAGTCATATATAGGAATATCTAAAATACCTTGTAAAGTAACTATGTATGTACATTAGGGTGGTCAAGAATACACTGGAAAATAGACTTTTGTATCTTTTTTGCGTTGACCTCCCAGAATTTTTGAAACAGGAAAATAAGGGGACCCGTTTTATTATTTTGAAACCGGTTAATATTTAACCGTGTCGTCGGGCTTGTAAAATAGTTAAAAATAAATATTTATTTTATCGAATAAAAATATTTCCCCTCAAAAATCGTTATTTAATAGAACTATGACCTACCACTTTTTAAAAAAGTGCATTAAAAATTAAAAACTAAGCGTTGACTTTTTCTTAAAATTTCAGAATTTTACTTGCTTTATTCAAATAAACTTAAGTAAGATGATTGTTACGAAAACATAAAATAACTAATTTTAGTAAATTAGATTATCGGTCAAGAAAAAGTAGTTACTAAAATTTTAGCGTTAATCGTTTTTTTTTTTGTATGAAGATTTCTGAACAATAATGTTTTTATTCAACTAAAAAATGGTTACTTTCAACCATTTTATACAAATTACATATCGTCACTTAAGGATGAAATGTAGTTTCGTATTACCTGCCATTC